TTGGCCATTGCTAGTAGGTTGGAGGCCATCGCTGTTAGGTTGGCCATCGCTGTTAGGTTGGAACCATCGCTGTTAGGTTGGCCATCGCTGTTAGGTTGGAGGCCATCGCTGTTAGGTTGGAGGCCATCACTGTTAGGTTGGAGACCATTGCTATTGGGTTGGAGGCCATTGCTATTGGAGGCCATTGCTTTTAGGTTGGAGGCCATCGCTGTTGGGTTAGAGGCCATTGCTATTTGGTTGGAGGCCATGGCTTTCAGGTTGGAGGCCATCGCTGTTAGGCTGGATGCCATTCCTATTAGGTTGGAGGCCATATTGCTAGTAGGGTGGAGGCCATCGCTAGTAGGTTGGAGGCCATTGCTATTAGATTGGAGGCCATTGCTGTTAGGTTGGAGGCCATCGCTGTTTGGTTAGAGGCCATTGCTATTAGGTTGGAGGCCATATTGCTATTAGGTTGGAGGCCATTGCTGTTAGGTTGGATGACATTGCTATTAGGTTGGAGGCCATTGCGATTTGGTTGGAGGCCATTGCTATTAGGCTTTCTTAAGGCTTTTCATTTTTTTCATTTCATTTTGTGGGTTGAGCAATGTCAAACGCTCTGCCTCACTCTGCAGAGTTGTTCCATGCGCTGATCTCTTTGGTTGTGTGTTCTACCATGTCCTAAAACTCAACCAAGGCCCGGCAAGTGGCAGCAGAGCCTGGCCTTGCTTTGTGAGTTTCCGAGCTTCTTGGAGGATGAACTAAGACTGCTTCCTGACCCGATCTGACTCAGCATGAAGTGAAGTAAGAGTGACTATAGTTCCATTCAGAAAGTACTGAATCTGTGAATGCGATCAATGAAGGTTTAGCTGTGCAGCCCGACGACATGGTGGCTTGGCAAAGTGATGACGTTCCGATGTCTGAAGCGGATCCAGTGAAAATCCAGCAAGAGGACGCTACTAGAACAAACAAGGGCATCGCTACTAGGAGCAAGGACGCTACTAGGGGCTCCTGGCCTTACTACTAGTAGCAAGGACGCTAGTAGTAACAAGGAATTCGGCAGATGTCCGAGTGCTTGTGAGGCATTCAATGCGGCCATCCGTGCCTGTCAGGGCGAATGGGTGCAGGCGTGGTTGGTCCAAGTGCTGGGAATCATCCAAAGCTTGTTGCTTCTTGCTCTTAGTAGTAAGGCCAGGAGCCCCTAGTAGCGTCCTTGCTCCTAGTAGCGATGCCAGGAGCCCCTAGTAGCTTCTTGTTGCAACAATTCATGGGATGACTTACTTGGACACAGTAAATCTGGAGGTCTGAAGAGTCGCTATTCCACGTGATCAACCACACCTAATAGGAAGAACAAAAGGGGCTAAGTGCACAAGGCCACCAAAGTTGATGTTGTTCACACAGATTTTCCTGGTTACCTATATATGATCTCTGGATCAATACTTGCAGTATTCCATCCAGATCAACATTCTGACTACAGCAGACTATGTGCATTCTTTGGAGTGAAGGCAGATCTCTGTAGTTGATTGGACTCCGTAAGACCTTAGCCAGTAACAAGTGCCACGCTAGTAGTAACAGGTGCCTTACTAGTAGTAACAAGAAGCTATTAGTAACAAGTGCCACGCTAGTAGTAACTATTGGACTCCGTAAGACCTTAGGACTCCTAGGGAGTGCCCCAAAGAATGCCGAACTGAAAAACTTGCTGTGGACGACTGGTGAGTTCAATTTGCCAACAGCCGAGAAGCCCATGGCCGAAGCGTTCTTGCAAACAGAAAGGGGCAATTAGTGCAGGCCTCTAAGAAGGATTTGCGTGGTTTCACCATAGCAAGGAGAGAATGACAGGAAGGAAAGAAAAGAACACGAAAAAGTATGAAAAGTCCTGACAACAATCCTACAGAAAAACTACCAGCCAAGAAAGAACGATTTGTAGCGGGTAGCCAAGGCCAACACCGCCTCATACCTCGTGTGCTCGCCAGGCATTTCAACTTCTCGAGCTAATGCGAGCACAGCAGCTACAGCCAACTGCCATCACGTACGCAGCTTCAGCTCTCTTCAGCGGTGAAGCCCCATTTCTTCACACCAACAGCACCTGCAGTGCCACGGAGACCAATTTTGCATGACTAAGTGAGCACCGCGTTGGCTCCGAGTGTGTAAGGGTAGAGGGGATTTCGTCCGTAGCTTGTCTGGGTTATGCTCGAAGTGGCTGTGTCAAAAAGGCTTTCCAGTAGCTGGTCCAACGACTAGTGTAGAAACATCAAAAGCATAGCAGTTGTGTTCATGTTTCGCTTATCTGAAATCAACTGACACCTCTTTCCTTTGCCAGGTTCACTGCCTGTGCCAATGCTGCTGCTGCTGCTGCTGCCTCATGGCCAGCTGCTCTTGCAGCTTTGGATGAGGCTGGAATATGAAGTGTTCCCACCCAATTTCTCAGAGCATGTTGGCAGAATGTGTCAATGTAACTCACTATTTCATTCTGTGAGCAGCCCCAATTTCGTCGAGTTTTGCTTGCAAAAACCGTCTGAAATCCACAGAAGCTATCGGATTACTTGCACACAAAAGTGCACAAGTAACTATGGGCCAAGATTCCTTCCGAGATCTAGTCGAAATTCACAGGAATCCTGTCAGGCAAGAAATCTTCAGCTGCAAATGGACGTCATCCTCTTCTCGACTGTTTTGAAGTCCTTGCCTGGCGAGGCCATGTTTGGTGTGCAACAAAGATGTCAATGGTATTGCCATAGATTTCAAACCAAGATTTACAGTACACAGGTTTCCAACCTACTAGCGATGGCCTCCAACCTAGTAGCTTCTTGTTCCTAGTAGTAATGCCAGGAGCTACTAGTAGCTTCTTGCTCCTAGTAGCGATGCCCTTTGTTCCGTTCGTAGCTTCTTGTTCAGGTTGAGTCCGAAAGACGCCTCGATTCTCGTAACGCGAAGCCAACGCAGTGAGGCCTGGACAAGGGCGTTGCACCTCTTGCAGGACTTGAGGAGATACGGGACAGCTCACCGGATCTTGCTTAAAAAACTCGCCTCGACTCACTTGAAGAGCTCGCTGCCGGAGATGCAGCTGCTTTTGTAAGACATTTCGGGCGACAAAACCGATGGTCATTCCAAAGCTTGAACATTTGCACGCAAACCATTCACAATTTTCAAGCCAGTAGGTTGGAGGCCGTCGCTACTAGTAACAAGGGCATTTTCAAGCATTGTGCGAACAGCCTTGTGCCTAATGGCGCACAATGGGCCCTTGGGTGTCATGGGGCAGCCTGGGGCATGCAGATGGTTCCTTTCTTGGTGCCCCGGGACATACGCATGGTGCGAATCCTTCTGCAAACGACCACACATGGCAAAGCAACAACATCCAAGGACAAAGAGGCAACGCTTGAAGAGTTCCACTTAAATGTACAGGTCTGATGAAATTACACTTGATGTCATGAGGATGGGTGCTAGCTAAGAGTTTGACAGCTGGACCAAAGAAAGCTAGTAGCTTGATAGGTTGGAGGCCATCGCTACTGGTAGTTGATTGGAGGCCATTGCTAATAGGTTGGAGGCCATCGCTAATAGGTTGGAGGCCATCGCTATTTGGTTGGAGGCCATTGCTATTAGATTCCTTTTGCTATTTGGGTGGAGGGAGGCCATCGCTAGTAGATTCCTTGCCAATAGTTTCGATTCGCAATTTCTTCATCTTTGCTCATTCGAGGTACATGGCAGCCTCTGCGAGCCCGTGGTGCTTGGTGCGAGGCGCAGCTGATGCTGCAGCAGCTGCGTTGGAAGGGTCATGTACCAGGCAGATGGATGTGTCGAGAGTAATGAGTTGTAACGAGTTTCCGTTTTTGCAGTGGAAGAAAGGCCAATTTTGGTTCCTTGGTTTGCTTTCGAGTGAAGCACCGTGCCACAAGACCGATCCTTGGAAAGCAACGCTTCAGAGTGGGAAGCTCCTCTTGAGTGCATTCAGTCAACTTCTTGTCAAACTGAGCCTTCTGAGCCTTGTTAGGAAGAGTCTCTTCCTTGAAAGAAGGGGTAGCATGGTTGCATGCCTTGCACTTTCCGAACAAAACGTGAGGCATCTTGAGCTACAACAAGGTTTTGGCTGTAGGCGGCGACTGGCCAATGGCATTGGCAATGTTCGAGATGGTGCTCCGCGAGGCGAGGATCAGCTAAACTCAGTGCACTTCTTGCAGATGCAAAGCGAGCAAAACGAAAAAACAAAGGAACATAATAGCAATGGCTTCCAACCTACTAGCGATGGCCTCCAACCTACTAGCGATGCCTCCAACCTACTAGCAATGGCCTCCAACCTACTAGCGATGGCCTCCAACCTACTAGCGATGGCCTCCACCCCACTAGCAATGCCTCCAACCTACTAGCGATGGCCTCCAACCTACTAGCAATGGCCTCCAACCTACTAGCGATGGCCTCCAA